ACTGAAGACATAGCCACCACCTGGGCTTGGTCTGTGTGTAGCCAAAGACCATTCGCGTGTCCAGCCACACAGAGGCTGTCCCACCCATGGGTTCCTTGACGCACCTCTCTTCTGTGTCTGTTTAATCGCTACAAATCCTGTTCTTCATCATGTGGCCCAAGGCCTCTTCCACTCATTGTGCCTCTGTTTCCTGAATCATAACACCTCCTGGGTTCTACAATGTCCATAAGTTTCAAGACCGTGGCCCTAGAGCTTGGGCCAGGGTAAGAGCAAATTGCAGGTTCGAAATCTGAGACTTGCTGGGGTGTGGTGGCTCTCACGCCTGTAATCCCAGGCACTCTGCGAGGCCCCAGGTGGGTGATCGCTCCAAGGTCAGGAGTTCGAAGACCAGCCTGAGCACTGAGTGAGGACCCATCTCTGGTACATGACAACAAAAGGAGAATTAATGGCAAAGCGAAAAAATATACTAGAAAAACTTAGCCGGGCATCGGTGGCGCATCGCCTGTGGGTCCCGGCTTACTCGGTAGGCTGGAAGTGCAGTAGGCTTGCGGAGACTAGGCGGTTTGAGGTTGGGCTGTGAGTGAGGGGCTGATTCCACGGCACTCTAGCCTGGGCAACAGAGTTGAGCACTCTGTCTCAAAAAAAAAGAAAGTCTGATACTTATCGTCAAAATGAAAAGTGTGGGAAACAGATGGTTGGCACCCTCCTTTCCCTCGAAGCGTGTTAATTTAGAAAGCTTTTCTTGTTTGGTTTGCTTCTTTCTTGTGTTGAGACAGCTCTGGCTGCTGTTGCCCGGGCTGAGATTTGCTGTGGCGATCAAGATAGCTCACCAGCAACCTGCAAAGGGTCCTGGTTCAAGGGATTCTCCTGCCTTAAAGCCTCCCAGGTAGCTGGATCTACAGGCACACGCCACTGTGGCTCTGATAATTTTTCTCTATTGGTTTAGTTGTCTTGGCTAAGTTTCCTCTTCTGATTCATAGTAGACGGGAGGGGTCGCTCTTGGCTGCGGCTGGGCTCCAACTCCTTTAGCTCAGGCAATCATCCCGCCTGGGCCTCCCAGAGTGCTGTAGGATTACCGAGTCGTGAGCCACCGTGCCCGTGAGCCTAAAAGTGTTATATAGCAATTTGTTTCTCTGTGGCTCTACAAAATATATGTCAATTATTTTAAAGAGGTATATAAAACCTTTTGTAATTCTTCTTTGTTCTAAATATTTTTGTCTCTAGGATCTGAGAACTATTGCTTTGAAATTTTAGAATTAGCCAGGAGATAGAGATACTTATATAGAAAGTTTTTATAGAAAGTATGAGCGCTAGCTCTGTCAGGAAGGCACCTGCATTCCAAGCTTATAGATCTGTAAATCTTGCATGAACACTAGAGAAGGCAATTTTTCCTTTGAATATTAGCCAATTCAAATTGTATGTTTACTATAGCCAAAACAGAGTTAGCCTCGTAAATTACGCGCGCCGGTGAATTTTGGGATGTAGAAGAGAACACAGGCGGGCAAGGTCTACCGACTAATTGTATGGCAAAATCGTGTATGTGGGAGGCTCAGTATCAACACAGTCGGGAATGTGTAAATAAAACAGTTTTCTGTGCGGGTTACCAGTGTGGAGCAGCGGAGCGGGAGATAATTCTTACTGTTTATATTTCGTGAAATGCTGTCCAGATTTCCAGACAAGGAATAAAACATGTAAGATGGCCCAACCAGTTTACTGTACAAGTCGGTGATTTTGTGGGGGCTGCCAGCTAGACAATCCACAATTGCCAGGCAAAGTGTACATTGCTCCAGATTCTCTGTAGGCAGTACCGCGGCCAGGGGTTCTACTATCGCCTTCTTAGCTGAAATTAGAGCATTATTTCTACCCCAAATAGAATAAATAACTAAATAAAATATCTTTCACAGGACAGCAATCAGTCGATGCCAGCCTTCAATGCACTTGGCATCGAGACCAGAAACCCAGGCCGCGCAGGGCTCAATGCCGTGAAGCGAGAAAATGAGGCAGGAGATCCCTTGAGTCAGGAGTTCGAGATCAGCCTGAGGCAAGGAGGGAGACGCTGGCTCTAGAAAAATGAGAAAAAGTAGCAGTTGTGGTGTGCTCAACTAAGTCCAGGTACTTGTCGAGAGTGCAGGCAGGAGGATCGTTTTTGAGCACAGGGATTTTTGAAGGTTGCTCTGAGCTGGGCTGATGCCGACGCATCCAGTCTTGGCAATTAGAGGGCAAGACTCTGATTCAAAACAGAAAACAAAAAAGAGAAAGTCCTACGTGCGGACTGGATGGCCCGTGGTGATCCAAAAGCAGAGACATAGGGCTGACTCTATGGGTCAGAAAGAGAATTAAAACCTGCCCTCGTGGCCTGGACGCAGTGGGACCAGGCTGGTGTGCTAATCAACTTATCCATGATCAGACTAACTCTGGGGTACGAAGAAGCAGGAAGACAAGAATAACCTAATGTCAGTACCACAGTGTCCAGGCAGTATTGTTGTGGCAGGCAATGGCTATTTTGTTGGTCCTGCCCGTCTGGTGCTGAGGTGCGTGTTACATTTGTACAGGATTGCTGCCACCAGATCTGTGTTTACACCAGGGGACCCTCCCACAAACAGGGCACAGCGTCACGACAAGACGGAAATTCAGAAGGCACGCAAAAGATGTGATTTAAAAGCAACCTGCAAGGCAAAAGCGCCGGGGTCTCTGCATATGCCCGTCACAACATCTGGCTCGTGTCGTGTCATCCCAGGGGGGGCCAATCATTCTATGGAATGTGTCTAGGTATCAACCTGGCCGTACTCGGACAGCAAGGAGAAGCGAGGAGAGACCCCTCATGGAAAGCTCTAAGCACATCCTGAAGAACCCAGGACCTAGATTTAAATTTGCGAGCTTTATGGGATTTATGTCTTGAAGGTGGGGGTGTGGAGGTGCCTTGCTGCACATCCATGAACAGTGTGGTGAAGAGGAGGAGGGGGAAGTTAGATTCTAAGGCCTATTCTTTTTTTTTTTGTTTTTTGAGACAGAGTCTCACTTATGTGGGCCTAGGCTAGAGTGAGTGCCGTGGCGTCTAGCCTAGCTCACGAGAACCTCAGACTCCTGGGGCGCAGCGGATCCTCGTGTCTTCAGGCCTCCGCGAGTAGGCTGGACGACAGGCAGCTCCACCATGCCGGCTGAATTTAGCTCTATATATATTAGTGGCAATTAGTCTCATTTGCGTATTGTATAGGAGAGACGGGTCTCGCTCATTGCTGCAGGCTGGTTTTGAAACTCCATGACTTGCAGCAATCCTGCCCGCCTCGCCGCCCAAGGCTAAGGTTACAGGCGTGAGCCACCGCGCCCGGCCTAAAAAAAAAAAAAAGTTACAAAGAGAATCTTGAAACCAGCAAGCACAAAGTAACCTGGCATGTAAAAGGGCACCCCTACAGGATGATCCACAGATTTTATAGAATAAACAAACAAACAAACAAACCTTGCAGGCCAGAAAGCTACAGGATATTTAAAGTGCTACAGGAAAAAAAAAAAAAAGACAGCTATCAGCCAAGAACACTGTTTCTGGCAAAAACTGTCCTTTAAAAATTAGTTAAATACAAAAAAACTCAAAAAGAAGCTTTAAAAAGCCAGACCCAAGAGACATGCCCTACATAAATTGCTAAAGAGAGTCAGTGCTTCATATTGAAAATGAAAATATTACACACACGGTTATGTGAACTTATAAAGTTCCATGGTAAGTGTAATTATATGCTATGTATGGTATTCTGTGTTGTTTTAATATCATAATGATGGTGAATAAAATACTTTTAATTCGGCTATAGATGTAAAAAGATGAACTCTTAAAATAACCATAAATTTTTGTTAATGGATACACGATACAAAAAGATATAATTTGTGACATCAAAAAATGCAACCGGGGATGTAGAAAGGCAGGGTCTTTGTATGCAATTAAAGTTTTCTGCTGAAAATTGTTTCTTACAATCTATAAAAAAAAAACACCCAAAAGTATTTTGAGACAAATAAAATTTGAAGCACCAGCAATAAACACTTCTAAGATGCAACAAAAACATTACTAAGACAAGTTTATAATGATAAGTTTTGACATTAAGAGAAAAAGGAAGTTCTTAAAATAAACAACCCAACTTTAACCCCCAAGTAACTTAAACAGGAAGAATAAAATAATCCCAACATTAGCATAATGAAGGAAATAATAAAGATTAGAGCAAATAATTAAGAAAGGGTTAGGCCGGGCGTGGTGGCTCACGCCTGTAATCCTAGCACTTTGGGAGGCTGAGGCGGGCGGATTGCTCAAGGTCAGGAGTTTGAAACCAGCCTGAGTGAGATCCCGTCTCTACCAAAAATAGAAATAAATTAATTGACCAACTAAAAATATATATACACAAAAAATTAGCCGGGCATGGTGGCGCATGCCTGTAGTCCCAGCTACTCGGGAGGCTGAGGCAGTAGGATCGCTGAGCCCAGGAGTCTGAGGTTGCTGTGAGCTAGGCTGACGCCACGGCACTCACTCTAGCCTAGGCAACAAAGTGAGACTCTGTCTCAAAAAAAAAAAAAAAAAAAATAGGCCTTAGAATCTAAACTTCCCCCTCCTCCTCTTGCACAAATGTTCATGGATGTGCAGAAGGCACCTCCAACCCCCACCCCCACCTCTCCAAGACATAAATCCATAGCTCCAAAATTTAAATCTAGGTCCTGGGGTTCTTCAGGATGTGTTAGAGCCTTTCCATGAGGGGATCTCTCCTCCAGCTTCCCTCCCCTTGCTGTAACACCCAAGAGTACAAGGCCAGGTTGATACCTAGACACTTCATAGAAGATTTGGCCCCCACCTGGGATTGACACGACAGAGCCAGATGTTGGACGGAGCATATGCAGAGAACCCAGGGGAGACATTTTCTGCATTGAGAGAGATCAACATAGATATCTTAAAGTCACATTTTTGGAGTGAGCCCTCTGAATTTTCCAGATCTTGTCCAGTGAGCTGCTGCCATAGTTGTGGGAGGGGTCCCTGGTGTAAACAGGATCTGGTGGCAGAATCTGTAAGTATAAACAAGCACCTCAGCAACCAGAGGGCAGGACCACAAAATAGCCATTGCCATGACCACAACAATACCTGCCTGGACACTGTGGTACTGGGAATTAGGTTATTCTTGTCCTTCCTCTTACTTTTACCCCAGAGTTAGCTGATCATGGATAGTTGATAGCACACAGCTGGTCCATGGTCAGTGCTTCACGAGGGCAGGTTTATTCTCTCTTCTGACCCATAGAGTCAGCCTGAGTGTCTGCTGTTTGTATCACCACGGGGCCATCAGTCCGTCACTAGGGACTTTCTCTTTTTTGTTTTCTGTTTTGAATCAGAGTCTTGCTCTATTGCCAAGACTGGAGTGCCGTGGCATCAGCCTAGCTCAGAGCAACCTCAAATCCCTGTGCTCAAACGATCCTCCTGCCTCACTCTCCCAAGTACCTGGGACTATAGTTGGGCACCACCACAACTGGCTAATTTTTCTATTTTTAGTAGAGCCAGCGTCTCCCTCTTGCTCAGGCTGATCTCGAACTCCTGACCTCAAGGGATACTCCTGCCTCAGTTTCCTAGATTACAGGCATTGAGCCACTGCGCCTGGCCCAGTTTCATGTCCTCAAGATGCCAAGTGCATTGAAGGCTGGCATGACTGATTGCTGTCCTGTGAAGATATTTTATTTATTATTTATTTATTTGGTAGAAATCTGCTCTAATTTCCCTAGAAGAGATAGTAGAACCCAAATAGGCAGAGAGACAATACTGCCTACAGAATCTGGAGCAATGTACAATTTGCTGCAATTGTGGATTGTTACTGGAAGCCCCACAAAAATAGACTTGTACAGTGAAACCTGTTGGGCATCTTACATGTTTATATCTTGTCTGGAAACTCTGGACAGCATTTCACAAATATAAACAGTAAGAAAATTATCTCCAGCTCCAGAAAAATGATCCACAATGGTAGAACAGAAAGAAAACTGTTTTATTACACAATTAAACCAGAATGTGATGTGATATGAGACTCCAAAAATAAAGATTTGCCATAATTAGTCGCCAAGTAAAAGACCTGACAGCACCATGTGTCATATATTCTACATCCAAAATTCACCTGGTAATTTAGAGGCTAACTCTGTTTTGGCTATAGTAAACATAAATTTGAATTGGCTATATTCAAAGGAAAAATATGCTTCTCTAGTGTTCATGACAAGATTTAGATCTATAACTTGGATGCAGGTGCTTCCTGAAGATACGCTCATACTTTTCTATAAAAACTGTTATAAAGTATTCTATCTTCCTGGCTATTTAAATTTCAAAGCAATAGTTCTCAGATCCTAGAGAAAAATATTTTAGAATAAAGAAGAATTACAAAAGTTTTATATACCTTTTAAAATAATTTACATATATTTTGTAGAGGCACAGAGAAAATTGCTATATAAACTTTTCTAGGCTGGGCACGGTGGCTCACGACTGTAATCCTAGCACTCTGGGAGGCCGAGGCGGGATGATTGCCTGAGCTAAGGAGTTGGAGACCAGCCTGAGCAAGAGCGACACCCCGTCCGTCTCTACTATAAATAGAAAGAAATTAGCCAAACAACTAAAAATAGAAAAAAATTAGTCAGGCACAGTGGCGTGTGCCTGTAGATCCAGCTACCTGGGAGGCTTAGGCAGGAGAATCCCTTGAAACCAGGAGTTTGAGGTTGCTGTGAGCTATGCTGATGCCACAGCACTCTAGCCCGGGCAACAGAGCCAGACTGTCTCAAAAGAAAGCAAGCAAACAAACAAAATAACTTTTCTAAATTAAACGCTTCAAGGGAAAGGAGGGTGCCAAAATCTGTTTCCACATTTTCAATTTTGAGAATTAAGTATCAGATTTCTTTTTTTTGAGACAGAGTGTCAACTCTGTTGCCCAGGCTAGAGTGCCGTGGAATCAGCCTCACTCACAGCAACCTCAAACGCCTAGGCTCCAGCAATCCTACTGCCTCAGCCTACCGAGTAGCTGGGACCACAGGCATGCGCCACCATGCCCGGCTAAGTTTTTCTATATATTTTTCGTTTGCCAATTAATTTCTTTCTGTTTTAGTAGAGATGGGGTCTCACTCCTGCTCAGGCTGGTTTCGAACTCCTGACCTTGAGCGATCCACCCACCTGGGCCTCCCAGAGTGCTGGGATTACAGGCGTGAGCCACCACACCCAGCCAAGTCTCAGATTTCTAACCTGCATTTGCTCTTACCCTGGCCAGCTCTAGGGCCACGGTCTTGAACTTATGGACATCTGTAAACCAGGAGGTGTTATATTCAGGAACCAGAGGCACAATGAGTGAAGAGGCCTTGGGCACAATGAGTGAAGAACAGGATTTGTAGATTAAAACAGACAGAGAAGGTGCTGTCAAGGACCCATGGGTGGGAGACAGCTCTGTGTTGGTGGAAGGACTGGTCTTTGCTACAGATCCAAGCCCAGGTGGGGCTATGTCTCAGTCCTGTGTCTACATAGGAGATGGGATTATGACTGGGTGGCCCAGAGCCTAGGCTCTTGGGAGAGACCAGATTTCTGCTACAGATTCAGTGTAGGGGGTTGGAATTATCCAGGGGTCAAATAGGTACTTGTATGAATTTTTAGTGGGCAACTTTAGAAGCAAATGTGCTGGGGGTGCAATCCCTGAGCTTGGACCCTTGTCCTGAAAGGGGCAGGGCCATGTCATTACATAAGGCACATGTGTGTGAGTAGACAGGAATCGTGGTGGCAGCAGGGTGTGAGGAGGGGTCTGCCTTCAGCACCCTCAGAAGGCAGACCCTCTTTCCCAAGACGCAGAAACCTCAGAAAAAGAAAATACCTCAGAGCTTTCTGAGCAATGTGAGGTATGGAAAATTGATCAGGCCTAGACAGAGAGCCATGACTATGTGACTTACTGTCAATCCCCTAACCCATGCCTAGGGGCAATTGTTTAAAGACATTTTCTTCCACACTAGCTGCCTCATCCATTATCTTGATATTTCTGGAATCTGTGATACAAAAAAAGTATAGCAAATCAAGAGCTTATGTAATTTTAATGTAAATTATTGGTAAACAACTTAGAAACTGCCTCTCCTCTTTTTCCCTTAAAAGCCCACTTATAACAGCTGCTAACAGGAACCTATATTCAGGGCAAATTAAATCTACCCTACTGGGTGGCCATGCTCAAACTTTGCACATGAATACTCTTTAAATTAGATTATGGCCTTTTTGATTCTTTAAGGTTGATAGTCATCTGGCAGACACAAGGAACCATGTGACAATTGGTGCTATTACAGCCCATGTGCAGGACAGAGCCTGCTTTCCCTGAGACACACAGTCTCCTTCCAGCCCAAGCCCTGCCTGGCCCACACTGGGTGAGTTCACAGGCATCCATGTGTCCTAGGTCCCCCAAATGTCCTTTTTTTTTTTTTTTTTTTTTTTTGAGACACAGTCTCACTTTGTTGCCCAGGCTAGAGTGAGTGCCATGCGTCAGCCTGGCTCACAGCAACCTCAATCTCCGGGGCTCAGCGATCCTACTGCCTCAGCCTCCCGAATAGCTGGGACTACAGGCATGCGCCACCATGCCCGGCTAATTTTTTGTATATATATTTTTAGTTGGTCAATTAATTTATTTCTATTTTTGGTAGAGACGGGGTCTCGCTCAGGCTGGTTTCGAACTCCTGACCTTGAGCAATCCGCCCGCCTCGGCCTCCCAAAGTGCTAGGAAAATGTCCTTAATTGTAGACACAACTTGAGTGGGGAAACCTGTGCACAAAAACCAAGTCCCTTTGTCTTGGGTATCTCACGGGGCATATCAGCAGAAATTATCACATCATGAACACAAAGGTGTCTTCATCTGAGGTTTGTTTTAAAATAAATGAGCAGGGCCGGGCGTGGTGGCTCACGCCTGTAATCCTAGCACTTTGGGAGGCCGAGGCGGGCGGATTGCTCAAGGTCAGGAGTTCAAAACCAGCCTGAGCGAGACCCCGTCTCTACCAAAAAAAATAGAAATAAATTAATTGACCAACTAAAAATATATATACAAAAAAATTAGCCGGGCATGGTGGCGCATGCCTGTAGTCCCAGCTACTCGGGAGGCTGAGGCAGCAGGATCGCTGAGCCCCGGAGATTGAGGTTGCTGTGAGCTAGGCTGATGTCACGGCACTCTAGCCTGGGCAACAAAGCGAGACTCTGTCTCAAAAAAAATAAAATAAAATAAAAATAAAAATAAAAAAAATAAAATAAAATAAATGAGCAACAGCAGAGCCTGGTTCAACTATATGTGATGGGAATGGATGGAAGCCCTTAACAATGATGCCATGATGCATATGTGATAACACACAAAGGATGTCATGATACAAGCAATGTAATAAAAGATATTAGAGCAGCATTAAAAATCTAATTCTGTTGTTTTTCCTTATTTTGTGTGTATATGTTTTATGCAAATTGTGATAAACTATACCATCCCTTTCAACTATTTATATTTTCTTATTTTTAAAAGTATATTGCTGGGGGAAGAGTCCACCGGCCCCTGAGGTGGGGGCCGACTGCCACTCTTTGCCTAATAAAAAAAAATATGTACAAAAAAAAGAAAGAAAAAAAAGTATACTGCTTAAGTCAAACATCCATTTCTCAAATATACTTTGAGAGCATTAAATCTCTTTTTTTTTTTTTTCCTTTGTTGCTCAGGCTAGAGTGAGTGCCATGGCGTCAGCCTAGTTCACAGCAACCTCAAACTCCTGGGCTCAAGCAATCCTACTGCCTTGGCCTCCCGAGTAGCTGGGACTACAGGCATGCACCACTATGCCTGGCTAATTTTTTCTATACATATTAGGTGGCCAATTAATTTTCTATTTTTATAGTAGAGACGGGGTCTCGCTCTTGCTCAGGCTGGTTTCTAACTCCTGACCTGGAGCAATCCTCCCGCCTCGGCCTCCCAGAGTGCTAGGATTACAGGCGTGAGCCACCGCACCCAGCCTAAATATTTTAAAATGATATCTAAAGTGTTTCATACTGAACACACAATTGT